GTGAGTCCAGAGCAGGTCACAAAGACGCTCCGAGGGCTGGAGTACCACTCCTATAGCAGCCTTCCACTTCCTAAAGGGGACCTACTGGACAAGGACTTTTTACAAGGCCATGTAGGATAGGACAAGGGCCAATGGCTCTCAGCTGAAGGAGGCTAGGTTTGGATTAGATATAAGAAGAAATTGTTTACTGTGAGGGTGGTGAGGCACTGGAACAGGCTGCCCAGGACGCTGTGGCTGCCCCATCCCTGGAAGTGTTCAAGGCCAGGTTGGATGAGGCTTTGAACGACCTGGTCTAGTGGAAAGTGTCCCTGCCCATCGTGTGGGGATTGGAACTAGATGATCTTTGAGGTCCTTTCCAAGCCAAACCATTCTATGATTCTATGATTTATCTGAGGGCTATACTGGTGTTTGAAAATTTCTGTGCCTATCTGAAAAAGTCTGAAGTTAACTAATTAACAACAATATAAATGTTTCAATCCAGCAAATTTTCTTCTGTCCATTCTGCTCCTCTTGCCTATGCTGAAGACATTCATAGGCAAAACAGGGAATAGGGAAACACGGGTCACATGGGAAACACCATTTTTAAAGCAAATCAGGACATGTCTTCGCACCACCATTACCACACAAATTCTCACACATACTAATTTCTGCACAAGGCCTCTAGGCTCTGTTTAAAGCTTCTGAGCAGTCAAGAGCTATGGAAAGGGGTGGAGCATTTGTTTCAACTTCAACTACTCCAGAAGCCCTTTCAAGAGCACTGGACAAACAGATTTGAAAACATGTGCCTCAGAAAGCAAGGTACCACATCCTCTTTTCATCTCCTTTCTAGGATTCTGGCCAGAAACCCAGGGTCAACCATGACCACAGTCATCAGATGCTTCTTTTCCACAGTGTTCTGGCTGTAGATTGTCTATTTTACAGTCTGCTTGCACAGCCTTGCTCCATTTTATTTCTAAGTAATAAGAAAAACATAATCCAGTCATATTGTAACTGGATTGTAACAATATGCATTGTTACACTGCCCAAAAATCACTTCTGCACCAAAATTTGGCTCCAATTTCCATGTAGGAAGTTTGAAATATTAAGATAATTCATTGTTTAAAATGTAACAGTCTTAATCTGATCCTTTTGAGTGCTTCTGATCGTAAATCAGTAGTAGTCAACTTTTGCTAGTTTTGAAAGCTTTGCTAATGTAGATGTTATTGCCATGGAATTTTGCAAGCCACAAATATATACTTCTCACAGGTTTTCAAATGTCTATTAAGCTTCCCTATCACTCTTTTGCAGTTTCCCAACTGCATCCTGCCATATGTCAAATGATGTGCCTTTTACAATTACAGTACATAGCAAGTCATAAGAAGTATTTCCATGTTGCAGAACAATCAGGAGAAATTTTTGTTAGTACCCTTCTATTTCCTTGCTGATTTCAAAATATTCATGAGATGCGAAAAATCACTTTTTTTTTCCCTTCAAAAAGTCAAACTGAATAGGAAATTAGGAATTTCCACTTTTAACAAATAAAAATTATTTCAAACATTCTTGGGCCATGCCAACTGCAAACAAAATCCTTCTCAGGACAGTTCCACAACTCTTCAAGAAAGGCAACGTGTTTTGGAGTACCCCAGAATCATTTAGCAAAGACGAGCACCGTATCACAGTATTCCTAAAGCTTTCTAAAGCTGCTATTTAGCAGGCTGAAGGAGATCACAGAACTCAGTTAAAGCCTAAGCAGTGAAGCCATAAGAAGCCTCCTGCTGTATACAACTCTTGGAAAGGGAGCAACTTAATGCTACCACCTTGACTTTACCACTCAAATCATGTCCAAGTCAAAGAGAAGTTTAGAAGTCCACCTTAAAAGTCAGTTATGTGCTGAAGTGTTCATGGACAAAAAAAAACACACCCAAAACCTTCCAGTGTCTTAAATCATTTCTGTTTGCATGTCTCTTCCGTTACTTTCCTCTGAACATCCCACCACACAACCCTCCCACCATTTCATCCTTCTCACTTACATCACCGTAATTACAGCCCTGGCTGATCTCCTTTGTGCTGATCTTGAGATTCTTTCTTTGGTCTTGCCACCTACTCATTTCTGATTCTTCTCAGATAACAGAACGCTTGTCTCTTTCCCAGACCTCCCACCCTCCTTCCCCTGTATGAGTAAGAAAGCTAGTGTTTTCCTGTCTTCAAGAGCTCTTTGCAGCACTCACTGAAAGGCATTCCCAAACTTCTTATATCCATCCAGTAAAGACTACAGCAGCTCTGCTGTGGGCCTGGTAAGATATTATGGTTGTGGGCAAAACATTCTTTGGGTTAGGCTTGCAGAGGGCAAGAGTCTCAACCTTTAGAAGTTTACTTTGAAGTCTGGCTGATGCAGGTTCCTTAAATCATTCTGTGCATTTACTGCTAGCAAGGGCACATCTGTACATCTCCAGTGGAGATCATTCACTCAGCACACAACATTTAGAGACAGCTGCCTTCGTGTGTGTATATAGAGTCAACAACACACTCCCCCTTGCATGGAAGATACCTACTGTTCTCATATTCAGTGTTACAAATTGCACAAGGACAGAGAGACAGGTATTACCAACAGTTTCCATACATTGCAGAGCTTTAGAGGGAGGAAGGAAGGAAGGAAGGGGTGTAAAGGTCAAAGGGAAGGAGAAAACCCCCACACTCAGAACATTCATCCTCTACTATGGAAAATGCCAAGAGTAGCTCCAACAAAAGTAGTCCTGCGTAGGCAAGACAGTCATCCTTAGATTGCAAGGCATCCAAGAAACCAAATATCCTGTGGTTTTTAGCTGTCACTTGAACCTTAGTTGTATTCCAATCCCAATCAACTACTCTGCATCAATTCAGATAAAATTATGAATGTTTTGCTTATGGGTACTATGTTAATATCAAAGGGAAAAACATTTACAACAATCATGGACTTGGGCAACTAAGCTGAAATATCAATTAAAAACTCAAGGTTAAAGCACTTATTTTTTTAGTAGATATAATGCTCTAAGTAATATTACTTTACAGCTACATTTGTTGTGTAGGCTACAAAACCCAAATGCTGCAATCCACGTCTCAAATCAGCATGACTCAGGCATATTGCACAGGGCAACACTGTCTGCTTGCTTGAAAAATTTCTGCTTATCAGGTAGAAAAAAAGAACACGCATTTTGCCTTTTCACTTAACTTCAGCTTTAAAAATAAAACCAAAGTCTTCACCCAACCAAGTTTATACTAATCAGCATAATGGCATAACTTCAGAGGAGGCTTGAATCATTCTGACACGACTGACACACCACACAGAGGAAACTGAACTTGGCTTTCTCTGGTTGAAAGTCCAAACAGAGCAGAGGGCCAACACAAGCCTGCTTTGCTGACCACTCTGTGTGCCACAGGGATCATGTGGCCAACCAGGGCAGAGGAAGAGAAGATAAAGAGTCCATTGCTGATACAGTGCATAGGTATGTGTAGAAATTGTTATTTTTTTGCATGACTCCTGGAATTCTCAGGGATCTCCCAAGAGCAGTCTGGGTTAATTAGACAGTGTAGAAGCAACTAGTATGCCAAATGAATGCCATTCCTACTAGAAAACATATCACACTGGGAGAAAGAGAAGGACCAGTCTTTCAACACAAACATTGGGAAATTAAGATCGCACTGTGGTACTGTGTGCACTCACAAGCAGACTAGCTGAGATTACTGTGTATGTGTAATCACTAGTCATTCCACCCTAAGTGCAGATGATACAAATGATACAGAGAAAACACATGCTGGAAATACAACAACCACAAAAAAACCCCAACCTGCACCACACATGAAATCCCACTGTACAGCTGAGGTAGAAATTCTGGCTACAACTGAAATACAGTCCCGTTTTCTTAGCAGATGTTTTGTTAGTACACAGGTGAATAAATTGTTTTTAAAAAGTGTACGCAGCCAGCCAGCATCTTGTAGATGTCAGCACTTAAAATGCACTCCAGAGCCAGTGTCTAACCTGCTCTTATGAACTGTGAGTCTACTGGCTGGGAGGGTTTGCACTGCTTAATAAACCCAGTGTGCTTCACAGGCAGACTTGCAGCGAGTCAGTGAGGTAGGGTCAATTTGAAAATATTACAGTTAAGCAGTGAAATGGTGAACATCTAATAGATAGCCGGTATAAAAACCATCAATAATCAAAGTAACATTAGCTTTGGGATATGATACTTCAGCAATTTTTGCTAAATTCATATTATTGCATAAATTTTATAAGAAAGCTTATTTTACAATTCAGTTTTATCAG